CCAAAACATTGTGTATTTTCTCCCATTTTCAATATTAAAATGGTTGCAGCACATTTACCAATTTGATAACTTTTTTAAATGCACACTGATATGACAGCTGTCACAATACAATCTAACAAAATTGTCCCGAATGAAGCTAAAGACACCTAAGCACTACTGGAGCCATCGTATGGACAAATCTAAATGAACGTTGTGGCCAACCAAATACAATCCAGTGAAGCTTAACCCAGAATTTCAAGACTGGCTGAACATGCAAAAATCTATCAGAATAATTCACCATAGTCACAGATGAAGAATAAAAAGTATATTTTTAAAAATCCTCACCCGAGGATATGTTATTGATTTTAGGGAGAGAATAAGAGAAACACTAATATGACAGAAACATCCATGAGTTGCCTCCAATACATGCCCTGATGGGGGATCAAACCCAAAACCTAGATATGGTACCCAGAACATTTTGGTGTATGGGATGATGCTCCAACCAACTGAACCACCCAGCCAGGACAATATTATTTTTATAGATGCAGGAAAAGTATTTAACAAAATCCAATTCACAATAAAAGTCTCAGCAAACTAGCAATATAAGGGAACTTCCTCAACTTAAAAAAAGGTACCTACAGAAAACATATTTAAAAGGTAAAAAACATCCCAGTCAGGCCACATGCCTGGATTGCAGGCCAGGTCCCCAGTAGGGGACACATAAGAGGCAACCACACATTGATGTTTCCCACCCTTTCGCCTTCCCTTCCCCTCTATAAATGAATGAATGAATGAACAAATGAATAAATAAATGTGAAAAACAATGCGTTTCCCCCTAAGATCTGGATAAATTCAAGGATGACTGCTCTCATCATTTCTATACTGACAGTACTGCAGGTTCTAACTATAAGCAAGATTACTAGAATTAGTGAGTTTATCAAGGTTTCAGAATACAAAGATAATATTTAAAATCACCTGATAGCCCTGGCTAGTGTGGCTAAGTGGATTGACTGCCCGCCTGGTTTTCAGGCCAGGTCCCCAGCAGGGGGCGTACCAGAGGCAACCACACATTGATTTTTTGCTCCCTCTATCTCCCTCCCTTCCCTTCTCTCTAAATATAAATAAAATCACATGTGTGTGTGTGTGCGTATATATATATATACATATATATATATGTATATATATATGAACCACAGCATATACCTCATGCCTTATATATATATATATAAATTAACCACAGCATATACCTCATGCCTTTTACAAAATTTAACTCAAGTAGATCATTGATCTAAATCAGGGATGTCAAACTCATTTTCACCAGGGGCCACATCAGCCTCATGCTTGCCTTCAAAGGGCTGAAATAATTTCAGGACTGTATAAATGTAACTATTCCTTAACTGTTCAGGAGATGAAATTACATCCAGCCTTTTGAAGACAACCATGAGGTTGATTTGGTCCCCTGTGAAAATTTATCAATGAGTTTGACACCCCTGCTCTAAATATAACATAAAATTTTTAGGAAATAAAACCATAGGAGAAAATCTTTAGTGTCTAGGGCTAGGTGAAGCATCCTTAAATTTGACACTAGAAGTATAGTCCATAAAAAAATTGATAAATTGGACTTAATAAAAATTTGAAATCTTTGCTCTAGAAAAGATATTATAGCCCTGGCTGGTGTAGCTCAGTAGATTGAATGCGGGCCTGTGAACCAGAGGATTGTGGTTTGATTCCCAGTCAGGGCACATGCCTGGGTTGCAGGCCATTTCCCAGCAGGGGACGCATGAGAGGCAACCATACATTGATGTTTCTCTCCCTCTCTCCTTCCCTTCCCGTCTAAAGATAAATAAATAAAATCTTTATAAAAAAGATATTATAAATAGAATGAAAAAACCCTATACGCTGGTAGAAGATATTTGCAAATTATATCCCCAATAAAGAACTTGCATGCAGAGATAAAAAGATAACAGTACCTGGGCTCTTAATGTTGCTTTGAAGACTCAAACGATAACAGAAGCACAGGGTCTGGTACATACAACCATTCAACAAATTTGAGTTATTATCATTTTATTATCATTGCTGTTACAGCATTCTTTAACATTGAGAAAATAAAGCAAGGCAAAAGTTCATTAATAGGCCAACTGTTAAATTATGTTACATCTATTACAAGGAATATTAGGCAATGTTTTAGCAGAATGAAGTGGATCTATATGCACTAACCAGATGTCCAGGATTGTTGCGCAAAAAGAAAATTGTAGGACAATTTTATAGTATGATCTCATGTGTGCAGAAAGAAAATTATGTCTTTTGTAGAAATTTTTCTAGGATGATACTCACCAAACTGCTAACAGTTGTTATCCCTAGGGAGGGGAGGGGAGTAAGGAGGGGTGTATGGAAAAGGTAGGATGTGGAGGAAAATTAAAGAGGGTCTTTCACTTTTTACTCTATTTATTCCTTGACTGTTTGAATTTTTACAAGACTATGTCCCAATATCACTTGCAAAACAAAAAATACAAAAGAAAAGAATTAACTATCTTTTCAAAGAGCAGCGATAAAAATAACTTTCTGATTGCCTTGGCTCATGGAGTCAAGAGGATGAAGGACAAGCTTACCTTGGACTGAAAGACTTCACTGAAAACAAACTGAGGCTCCATTTGTAATTTAACAAACATTAAAGGAGTGCTGCTTGTTGACCTGGCAGCACAAAGAACTGAGTTACTGCCCTTTGTGTGACAAACTTACTTTGTTATGTTATTGTGGTACAAATGTTAAGACTGTGGAGTTATTGAAGTCAGGAATCAAGTCTTTTTTGCTCTGTATCTCTAGCTGGTGACACAGGGCCTGGTTCAGAGCTGGCACTCAATTAAAGGGAGGACAGGACAAGATCTTAATTAAAGCTGGCTGTGAATAATAGTGCTGTCCTTGCCCCGTTGAACTGACACACAATCGCCATCTAGTGGCAACAAGGGATTCCTGTAGAACCTAGAGATGAGAGGAAGGGGAGTCTGAGGTGTGTTCCAGACACCTTTCAACCAAACAGCATTGACTAAGCGTATGACCCTAATTAGGGAAAAAAGGCCCAATCATGAGCTAAAAGGTCAATGTTTATGTCTCGAAATGTTGATAAGATGACATCTAGATACTCATGTGTGAAGTCGCGTCTATCACCATCACAATGCCCCAAACACCTACCTACCTATAAGCTGTGAAAAGTCCACACTTGCCACACCTTCACTGCAACCAAAAAGAGTGAAACACGTTTGATAATAGGTACACACACTCATGCCTTCCCAATGTTGATGAAATACTGAAAAACTTTCCCATGCCAGTGCGGTCAGGACAAGACACAAAACGGGACTGGAAAAAAATCGACCGTAAAGTTTGCCCTCCAGGTTCACCATCTTTCTGCGTAATCTAAGAATAAGTGACACTCAGAAAATATCTAGTGAACCTTTAAAATGTCTCACATTCCAAAGGGCAACAAGGGATAGCACCTTGGGCTGGCCTCCTAAGCACCATGCTGTGACAAACCCTCACCTGCCCAGGAAGGTCCTGGGGAGCACACTTTTGTCTCTCACTTCATTTGAATATGAATGAGTCTTCAAAACAACTTCGGTGTTTTTTAGAGAAGCAGCTGGGTGATTCGGAGGCTGAGAAATACTGGACCTCGTGTTTACGGACTTGGGGACTCAAAACAAAAATGATGAAGGAACACATTGGTATTTGACCTGAGAAATCTTGGTATATATAGATCTGTAACACCTATATGATAAGTAGAACATTCCTGCAAAATGTTGCTCAGCAGAACAAACAAGAAAAAAAAACCTTCCCAAAGATTCCTAAGAGTGATACTGTCTAGCCTAGGATCAGTGGAAATGGGGGCCCCAGTCAGTTGTGTGCTCAGGAAAGGCTGGTGTCACACATTCTGGAAGGATACATACATGCTTAAAGTTTTCTTAGAATCCCACCCTCCTCCACTTCCACACAGTATGTGCCTCATAAATGTAGGAACCAAAACACTGCTGAAATTGGCTGAAACTCGGACACCAGTTTGGGAGTGTGCCATAAACAAGAGACTTGTGGGTGGGCTTTTGTGGAGCAGAGCAGACATGAGTGTGTTTGTTGCTAGCACCCTGCTCTGGAGTTGCAGAGAAATTGGGAATTATTAACAAGATGGATCCATCAAGCTACTCCCAGCCTAAAAACAGCAAGAAGCCCTAATATCTATTTATATGCAAATCCCTGAGGGCTGAAGTGGTTCTTCCTAATGGATGAAGAACACTCAGTAGCAATCAAGTCTTCAAGTGGAATGTTTTTTAGACCTTACTGAGGGTGCTGATGGAGATAATGAACGTTTGAGCTGTGGGCAGTGCATTTAAAATGGTAATGCAATATGTAGGAAGATGTGCTCTTCCCAGTGTCCCTTATTTCATACTAGCAAAAGTCCGTGGTTCCTGCTGGTACTAGAAAAAAAAGCAACGTGTCAGCATAAAGAAAAAGCTGAGAAGAGACAGCATGAGAAACGAGTTATACTCTGTGGAAGGTTCCAGATAGGAGTGTCCGATGACAGTTATACGAAAGAGTACTCCTTACGGTCCAAGAGGAATGCAGGCCCCGTTCCTCTGTGCTTCTTTCTAACCCCTGCCCTGTTCTACTCGCCGGGCAATGGAACTCAGGGGCACCCCTCTCCAGAGACAGGGCACTAGAGATGTCTCCTTGGCCGCTCCTGCACCGAGAATGGTGCCTGGTGCCTCAGCCCCAACCCGCCTTCCTCTTCTAGGGTGATAGGGTGAACGGCGGTCTGCAGCCGCCGGCCCCCGCAAGCCAAGAGTCACGGGGCCCCTGCCCGCCTGCTGGACATTGGCTCGACGTGCGATTTCGCTTTCGGTGGATCGGCCTTGCCTGCAGCCCCGAGCGTTGGGAGCAGCTGCTTTGGGGGCGCATAGAACCCTGGGGCTCCCCGGGGCTCCCCCGCGGGTAGGGACCCGAGAACGAGAGTGCGGGCGGGCAGCGCCCCTACTCACGTAGCGCTGCAGTTTCCTCTCGGGTGGAGACTTGACGAGCCAGCCGGTGCACACTGCGTCGCCCGAACTCATCGTGGCCGCCGCCGCCGCTGCTTCCTCCAGCTGGGTCGGCCGGCCGCGGCCGGAGGAAGTCGGGCCAGGGATGCCGACGGGGCGGGCCCAGCGCCCGCCCTCCCAGCGCCGCCCCGTGCGGCCGCCACGACCCCCGCCTCCGGCCGCCGCGCCCCCCTGGGAGGGGACGGGCGCCACCGCCCGCGGCGAGAGACAGTGGGGGAAGCAGGCAGCAAAAACCGGGAAGCCCCTTCGAACAAGAGCTCGGCCGAGTGGCCAGTAGACGCACCACGAGAGAGCGCGCGGAAGGAGCCCCGTGACCTATACAGAGTGCAGTGCAGTACGGAACTGTCCCCTGTTGCCTTCACCCCCACCCGTGACCAGTCGGGTCAAAAGGGCTGGTCCTGGGTACCGAAAGCCCAAACCTGTTATCCGCACCTGCCGTGTATGTAGTTAGGCAGTAAGGAAAGCATTGCCTCCTCTTTGACCTCCCTGTTCCACTTGATTGTTTGCAGACAAATGGTTCTTAGGGGAACTGAAGTTTTGCTACCCGCAAATAGGCTTTTTGGGATACTGATTTTAAGCTGATTGTTAAGCAACAAAAGACTCAGAAGGAATCCTTGACCCTCCCCCGCGTTCCTGCCCAAGCGATTCAGATGGAAAAATCTACTTTAAAAAAGCACTCCTTAAAACAGGAGACCACATGTTCCGTCAGTTATTGCACCCATCTCTAGGGGATACTCATTCCTCTTCTAGTTCAGACACCATCCACCTCAATATCCTATAACCTCTATCAACCTTTGTTTGACATGTATAAGATATAGAGAGAAGGAAGATCAGAAAAGTTTATATGTGCACACACACAAATGTACTATGCTCCTTATATCTACAACTGGTCTTGAGACTATAATTGGTCTTTATAACTTCCTTCTTCCACCACTCTCCCTGTCCTCCCTTTGCTCTCCAGCCAGGATCTCAGATGGTCACAATTTGCCTGGTGCGTGACCCAAACCTTTACTCCCATCAAGTCTGAATCCTCAGGGGTCCTGCCTGGCGGTACTTGTGGGAGGTGCCCCAGAGGATTTTTTGGATTCCATTCACAGTCCTAATCTTCTTGTTTATCAGCAATCCACTTTCCATATGATAATCCCCCATCCAAGCCAGCTCACTAGACTCGTGCTTTGCCTGTTGGTTGAACAAAGAACCCTAAATGGCCAGATGACAATCTCGATCTTCGATTTGATAGAATCAGTGTTGCAACCGTGGTAGAAACATTCCTACCTTGGGAACCAGGGGAGCTCAAAGTTGTGGGATGGGAAGAGACACCTTGAGGGTGGATTATTAGATGTGACAGTGAGAAGAGTCACGTCCACTTTCACCTCTTAATTCCTGGACCCATTGATTGTAGCTATAGAAAATCAGCTCCACATAGTGGTCATCAGTTCAAAGTGTGCACCTCATACTGTAAGACAGAAACTACCTTTCAGTGTATTTTTTACCTGACTAGTGCCATAACTGAGTCTTCGACAGACGGACCAGTCCACCATCCTATCAGGCCAGGTGCTTCAGGGCAGTGAGGTTCATGGTAAGGCTAGTGCAGTCCCTCAGCATGAGCACACTTGCTCATGTCTTTTGTTTTATAATGATTTCCTTAGTTGGAAGCACTATTATGTGAGATACTGTAGAAGTGAATAAGAGGCAGTAAGTCTATGGGTGGGGGTGCTGGCAGAAATGTGGATTACAATGAGTGCCTATTCAAGTGAGGAAAAGTTGCTGTCCCTTACAGACAAATGTGGTCTGATTTCATCAATCTGTCACCGGGTGGCTGCTGGACCAACAGGGAATGCTACCTTATAGGGGGCTCAGTGTTGATCTCTGCTGTGGGCAGGTCAAGTACCTGGCAATAACAGTAGCAGTGGCTGTGACCATATCAATTGCTGGCAGTCCCTGGGAGCCTCACCACTCATTACTAATTCCCTTAAGCTTGCTCACCTCTGAAAAAAAAAATCCACTCATCACACTCTCCTCAGTTCAACCCACTGAGTCTACCATTTGCTTCCTTCTGAGACCTTGATCAATATACCTACCTAGTCATGAAATCCTATGATGTTACAGGTGTGGGTCAAAGGAAAGGGTGTCATGCAGCAGTAGGGGACACAGAGATGTGAGCCACTTGCTTGAGCAACTTTGCTGTACCTTCCAGATCTGCTTGAGTCTGGTCTCAAATATTCTACTTGCAGAGAGTGATCAGTTAGCACCCAATTTATCAGGAGTAGCTGAAATTACACCATGCCTTGGTGCCCCATAGTCAGACTCAGACTTGACCATAGCCCAGGAGCCAACCAGAAGCTGCTAGTCTAAAACAAAATATCGATACTTCTTTTGCTTCAGAACTCTATGTGTCTGCTGTATGTTTCTCCTATTGAAACTTGCCAGAGATTCCATGTAGCCTCCCATGGTGTCAGAGGGCTCTGTGCATGTTGGATCTGCATGATCATAAAGGTCAAGTGCCTTGGGCCTGATGCAGACCCTTTCTTTACCCTGGGTCCCACTGTAAACATGCAACCTTACACATCACTTGCCGCATGCATTGGTGTGACATAACTAAGTGTATTATATGTTGCCTGCAGAATCTGAAGAGCCCCACCAAGTGCTGTACCTCTTTCTGAGGAGTAGGTGGTATGAGGTACAACAACTTATTGAATACCTGACATGGTCCAGACCATCTCAAAACATCATTGAGGGTCATACTCTTGAGTTTTTGTGGGTTTTATCTCCCATCCTCTGGCATATATGTGTCTTCATAAAGCATCTATGCTATCTGTTGCTCACCGGGTCCAGTAAGCAAAATGCCTTCGTTATAATAAACCAGTGATGTTCACCATGGTTATAGCAGCAATCAAATTCCACTCCCCCTGGATTATGACAATGACCTAGAAGATAGGCATAGCCCTTAGATAGGGCTCTAAAGTCAGACTTCTGTTCCTTCCGGATGAAAGCAAGCTGCTTCAGATATTATCTGCTGACTAAGAAAGAAAATAGCATTTCTCAGAAAAATAGCCACTTACCAGGTGCCAGGGTCTGTGCTGATTTGCCCTAGGGAAACAACATCATCCAGCATAGGCTCAAGTCAAGTCACGACCTGATTAATTTTGTGATTACCCATTATTCATTCCCAGGCTAACTGTGTAGGTTACATAAGCATGTGATTCCTGCATCTTTCAGAGTGTACTGCTCTCCCTTCCAGGGGAAACCAAGTTGCTTCTTTGTGGTCACTCCTCCTCAGTTCCTAGGGAGAGATGACCTCTACAATATCACAGTTTCATTTTCCTCTCATCAAGCCCCATCGCACTTTCTTTGCACTACAGCCTGGGGAGAGGAGGCTTTAAATAGAAAGTGGTTTTCAGTACCTGGGTTCTCTCTGTGGCTTCCCCATTTATTACTTATTTAAAATAGGTTTAGTTTGGCAGTTCATTAAGTACTATAAATCTTATAACTAGAAGGATTTATGAAAATAAACATCCACTATTATGGAAGAGTTTCTATTTCAATTATGTTTTGAGGGGCAAAATGGCCATGCATCTAAGTTATTCTCCATGAAAAGAGAGAAAATTAAAAAATAAAATGTCTCTTACCCTGGCTGGTGTGGCTCAGTGGATTGAGTGCTGGCTTGTGAACTGGGAGTCACCAGTTCTGTTCCCAATAAGGGCACGTGCCTGGGTTGCAGGCCAGGTCCCCGACTGGGGGTGTGAGGGAGGCAAACAGTGGATGTATCTCTTATGCATCGATGTTTCACTCACTCTGTTTCTTCCTCCATTCCCGTCTCTCTAAAAGAAAGTAAAATCTTTAAAATAAATAAATAAAAATCACATGTCTTTCCGATTTCTGGATCAGGGACAGACATGGGGTGATAGCTTACATGTGCATGAAAAGCCAATCATAAGGGAAGAAGGCTACGCCTTCCTATATTCCCCTGTTCCCATCCACCTCTTGTTCACATAATCTATGAAGTATGTGAATTAAAGGCTTAGACTGCCATGGTACAATTTCAGATAGGGAGACACTCTTTTTGCCTACAAGGACATCTATAAAGTGCTTCTCCGAGAGTGAAAGCAATCTAATTTCCATCTGAAATATGAAAATTTGACCTTATTATTATCAATGATAGTCTTTTTCATGTCTTATGAAAAATTCTGACTTCATATCCATTATTGTCGCATTTAAAATAGTGTGGCTTTTAGCCCTGGCTAGGTGGCCCGGTTGGTTGGAGCATCACCCCAAGAGTTGCAGATTTGATCCCTGGTCAGGGTGCATACAGGAGGCAACCAACAATGTTTTTTTCTCAGATCAATATTCCTCTCTCCCTCTCTCCACCCTCTTACCTCTCTATAATCAGTAAAAACATTTTTACAAATTATAAACAAATACAATTGGCTACAAACCTGACACAGTAGCATTTGTGCCAATTTTTGTTTGAAATGGTGACAATGCTAACATGCCTTGGTTCAAGGGATAGAAGGTCCCCTGTAAAGATGGCAATGTCAGTGGAACCACATTTTGTGAAGCTCTGGATCACATCCTGCCACGAAGTCACTCAAGTGACAGGGCCCTGTGTCTGCCCATTCAGGATGTCTACAAAATTGGTGGTACTGGTGCTGTCCCTGTGGGCCAAGTGGAGACTGATGTTCTCAAACCCTGCATGGTGGTCACCTTTGCTCCAGTCAATGCTACAACTAGAGTAAAAGCTGTTGAAATGCACCATGAAGCTCCGAGTGAAGCTCTTCCTGGGGGCAATGCGGGATACAACATCAAGAACCTGTCTATCGCCTTGGCTGGTGTGGCTCAGTAAACTTAGCACTGGCCTGTGAACCAAAGGGTCACAGGTTGGATTCCAAGTCAGGGCACATGTCTGGGTTGCAGGCCCGGTCCCCAGTGTGGGGCACATGAGAGGCAAGCACACATTGATGTTTCTCTCCCTCTCTTTCTCCCTCCCTTCCCCTCTGTCCAAAGATAAATTGTAAAAATAAATAAATAAGTAAAGAACCTGTCTGTCAAAGATGTTTGTCATAGCAATGTGGCTGGTGACAGTAAAAATGACCCACCAATGAAAGCAGCTAGCTTTCTGGCTCAGGTGATTATCCTGAACCATCCAGGCCAAGTCAGTGTTGGACATGCACCTGTGCTGGATCGTCACATACTTCACATTGCTTGCAAATTTGCTGAGCTGAAGGAGAAGATTGATTGCTGTTCTGATAAAAGAGT